AAGTTTGGTTTTTGGTTTAACCATAGTCTTTGTAACTCCCACCAAATGACAGGGTTGTTGTTAGGTGCCATCGAGTCATCTCCAACTCACAGTGACCCCATATACAGCAGAATGAAACACTGCCTGGTCCTATGCCAGATTCACGATCTCTGCTATACCTGAGCCTATCGTTGCAGCCATTGTGTCAATCTATCTTGTTGAGGGCCTTCGCCTTTTTCACTGACACTCCACTTTACCAAGCGTGATATCCTTCTCCAAGGAATGATCCCTTCTTATAACATGACCAAAGTAAGTGAGACAAAGTCTGGCCATTCTTGCTTCCAAGGAACATTCTGGCTGCACTTCTTCCAGGAGAGATTTGTTAGTTTTTTTTAGCAGTGCCTGGTACTTTCAGCATTCTTTGCCAGCACTACAACTCAAAAGCATCAACTCTTCTTTGGTCTTCCAGGGCCGATGGCCAGAATAGGTAAGGAGGGAGAGAGACCTTAGGCAGGAAGTGGCAGCCAGGGCTGACAGCCAGAACTGGTAAAGAGGAAGAGAGACCCCAGGCAGGAAGCAGCAGCCAGGGCCAACGGCTGGAACAGGTAAGGAGGGAGAGAACCTCCAGGAGGAAGCTAAGGGAGATGAACTTGTCTGTCTCTTGTACTGTGGTGGCTTGTGTGTTGCTGTGAGGCTGGAGGCGTGTCTTTGGTGTTTCAAACACCAGCAGGGTTGTCCATGGTGGATGGGTTTCACCAGAGCTTCCAGACTGAGACAGACTGAGAAGAAGGAAGAGGCCATCTACTTCTCGAAGAATTGGACAGTGAAAACTTCATAAATAGCAGTGAAGCACTGTCTGATAAATTACTGGACAACTTTATGAATAGCCCTGAAACATTGTCTGATATAGTGCTGGAAGACGAGGCCCTCTGGTCGGAAGGCACACAAGATATGACTGGAAAAAAGCTGCCTCATAAGAGTAGAGCTGAACAATAAGGATAAAGTAGAGCTTTTGGGATCTCCATTTACTGATGTGGCACAATTCAAAATGAGAAAAAACAGCTGCAAGCATCCATTAATAATGAGAACAAGGAATGTACAAAGTATGAATCTAGGAAAATTGGAAGTTGTCAAAAATGAAATGGAATGCATAAAGATTGATATCCTAGGCAGTAGTGAGCTGAAATGGACTGGTTTTGGCCATTTTGAATTGGATAACCATATGATCTACTATGCTGGGAATGATAAATTGAAGAGGAATAACATGGTATTCATCATCACAAAGAATGTTTCAAGATCTATCCTGAAGTACAATGCTGTCAGTGATAGCATAATATCTATATGACTACAAGGAAGGCCAGTTAATACTACTATTATTTAAATTTACACACCAACCACTGAAGCCAAAGATGAGGAATTTGAGGATTTTTACCAACTTCTGCAGTCTGAAATTGATCGAACATGCAACCAAGATATGCTGATTATCACTGGTGATTGGAATGCAAAAAGCTGGAAACAAAGAAGACTCACTGGTAGTTGGAAAATTTGGCCTTGGTGGTAGAAATGATGCTGGAGATTGCATGATAGAATTTTGCAAGACCGATGACTTATTCATCGCAAATACCTTTTTTCAACAACACAAACAGTGCCTGTACATGAGGACTTCACCAGATGGAGTACACAGGAATCAGATTGACTACATCTGCGGCAAGAGGTGATGGAGAAGCTCAATATCTTCAGCCAAAACAAGGCCAGGAGCTGATTGTGGAACAGACCATCAACTGCTCATATGCAAGTTCAACTTGAAGTTGAAGACAATTAAAACAAGTCCATGAGAGCCAAAATATGACCTTGAATACATCCTTCCTGAATTTACAGATCATCTAAAGAATAGATTTGATGCATAATTGAACACCAATTACCGGAAACTAGAAGAATTGTGGGATGACATCAAGAACATCATCCATGAAGAAAGCAAAAGGTCATTAAAAAGACAGGAAAGGAAGAAAAGACCAAAATGGATGTCAGAAGAGACTCTGAAACTTGCCCTTGAGTGAAGAGTGGCTAAAGCAAATGGAATAAATGACAAGATAAAAGAGCTGAATAGAAGTTTCAAAGAGCAGGTCAAGAAGACAAAGTCAATTATTATAATGAAATGTGCAAAGACATGGAGTTGGAAAGCCACAAAGGAAGAACATGCTTGGCATTTCTCAAGCTGAAAGAACTGAGGAAAAAATTTAAGCCTTGAGTTGCAATATTAAAAGATTCTATGGGCAGTATATTGAATGATGCAGGAAACATGGAAAGAAGATGGAAGGAATACACAGAGTCACTGTAGCAAAAAGAATTGGTCGATGTTCATCCATTTTAGGAGGTGGCATATGATCAAGAACCAATGGTATTGAAGGAAGAAGTTGAAGCTGCGCTGAAGGAACAATGCTCCATTGAGATGTTTCAAAAATGGATGCCATGCTGGAGGCACTCACTCGGCTATGCCAAGAGATATGGAAGACAGCTACCTGGCCAACTGACTGGAAAAGATCCATATTTATACCCATTCCAAAGAAAGGTGATCCCACAGAATGTGGAAATTATCAAACAATATCATTAATATCGCACTCAAGTAAAATCTTACTGAAGATAGTTAAAAAATGGTTGTAGCAGTTTGGGAGCTCTGGTAGCATAGTAGCTAAGGCACTTGACTGCTCACCAGATGGCTGGCGATTCAAACCCATCAGCCACTCCTCGGAGAGAAGGTTGGGCAATCCTACTTCCGTAGTGATACTGCCTTGGAAACCCAAGGAGGGGTCACTGAGTCAGAGATGACTCAACGGCACATAACAACAACAACAACAGCAGTATATTTATTGACAGAGAACTTCCAGAAATCCAAACTGGATTCAGAAGAGGACGTGAAACAAGGGATATCATTGCTGATGTCAGATGAATCTTGGCTCAAAGTAAAGAATACCAGAAAGATGTTTACTTGTGTTTTATTGACTATGCAAAAGCATTGGGTTGTATGGATCATAACAAATTATAGATAACATAGAGAAGAAGGAGAACTCCAGAACACTTAATTGTATTCATGAGGAACCTGTACATAGACCAGGAGGCTGTCGTTCAAACAAAACAAGGGACACTGCATGATTTAAAATTAAGCAGGGAGTGCATCAGGGTTGTATCCTTTCACCATACTTATTCAATCTATATGCTGAGCAAATAATCTGAGAAGCTGGACTATATGAAGAAGAATGTGGCATCAGGCTTGGAGGAAGACTCATTAACAACCTGTGATATGCAGACGACACAACTTTGCTTGCTGAAAGTGAGGATGACTTGAAGCACTTGCTGATGAAGACTGAAGACTACAGTCTGCAATATGGATTGTACCTCAATATAAAGAAAACAAAAATCCTCACAACTGGACCAATAAGCAGCATCACGATAAATGGAGAGAAGATTGAAGTTGTCCAAGACTTCATAATACTTGGTTCTACAACTGACACCAATGGAAGCAGCAGTCAAGATACCCAACAACATATCACATTGGGCAAATCTGCTGCAAAGGACCTCTTTCAGGTGCTGAAGAGCAAAGATGTCTCCTTGAGGACTAAGGTGTGCCTGACACAAGCCGTGGTATTTTCAACTAACTCATATGCATGTGAGAGGTGGACAATGAATAAGGAAGACCAAAATGACTGGGTGGGCTTATGTAAATGTGAAGTGTTTGTGGCCCACCAAGGAAATTGGATAGCTTGCTAATAATGTAAGTAAGAGGCATGGCACCCTTGTTGGGGTAAGACCATGTAAATAAAGTGTTGTTGTTTGTTGTTGTTTTTTGCCGTCGAGTCGGCCCCGACTCATAGTGATCCCTCCTTGGGTTTCCGAGGCAGTATCACTGTGGAAGTAGGATTGCCCAACCTTCCTTCCGAGGAGTGGCTGGTGGGTTTGAACCGCCAGCCTTCTGGTTAGCAGTCAAGTGCTTTAGCCACTATGCTACCAGACCTCCTAATAAAGTGTATGGAACTCTAATAATGGGGATGGGATTGGTCAGTTTTGCCATCCCACTAGGCTTAAAATTCCAGAGGCAGAAAGAGGGTACTTGACCACCACCAAGTAGACGAGATGGGAGTAGAGTGCCCAGGTCCTTTGGACCTGGATCCCTGTTCTGGGAACCTCTTTGACCCAGAGACAGAGAAAGCTATAACATCAGAGAGACAGTGAGAGATGGCAAGAAGAGGTGGCAGAAAATGTTGGCAGCAGAGGTAGAAGAACCAGGAGGCCAGCAGAAGATGGCACAGTGGGCTTCACAGACCATGGAGGGAGAAAGTCTAGTACCTTTGGGCAAGAGGCTTGCTGGCAGAGTGGGGTGCCTCTGGGCACTTATCACCAGAGCTAAAAGAGCTTTGGAACACTTGCCTGAGCAGGGCAGAGGCCAAGGGGGCACGGGGCCAAGAGAATGAGGGCCAGAGAGAGGCATTCCTGTGGACATTGCTGAGAAGGGTCTGTCCTGATCGAAGAACTGTATCCTGAGTTGTTTCTGATCCTGAATTGTTACCTGTTACTTCCTAATAAACTCCCAAAATCGTGAGTATTGTCTGTGAGTTCTGTGTGGCCATTGCAACAAATTATTGAACCTAGCAGAGGAGTAGAGAGCGCCTTAGGAGGGATGGTTGGTGTCAGAGTTGTAAAAAGGTTGGAGGGTGGGGGCATGTCTGACCTCTGCTTCATAGGAATCAGCCTTGGGCTGTTGATCTTGATCCTCTTTCCCCCTTGTGAAATTAGAGAAGGTTAGACCATTTTTACACTGTCCCATCAGTTAAATCCTCTTTTCCACAGAGGCCTACCCTGTACAACACAGGCTGTCAGGTGTCTGCAACCATTTCCAGCTTTCCTGGAGAAGGGCACCTTCAGACCATACATTTGTGAGGAATGATCTTCTACTCAGCTCTTCCACTTCCTGTCTTTTCCTCACCCTCTAAGTTCCCCCTTCTCCTAAGGCCCCACATGGTACTTACTCAGCCGCCTCAAGTACAGAACTGTATCTTCATATCCTCGGTAATAGTAATTGTGCAGGACCTGGGGTTGATGGGGTGGAGGCAGAGGGACATCAGGAAAATAACTAAGGATGTAGCAATAGAGGGAGCCACGGTCCCCTTACCCAGAGCACCAGTTTTCATTGCTCGTGAGCTTTATTTGATGGGCTTTTCAAAACTTACTCATACAGTGTCTCATCTCACTCTGCTAAGAAGACCCATTGCTGAATCCATTGCCGTTGAGTAGATTCTAACTCATATCAACCCCAAGGACAGAGTAGTATTGCCCCACAGGGTTTCCAAGGTTGTAAATCTTTACAAAAGCAGACTGCTTCATCTTCTTCCACAGAGTGGTTGGTGGGTTTGAACTACCAACCTTTTAATTAGCAGCTGAGTGCTTTAACCACTGAGTGGGCCACACAGGCTCTCTTGCTAAGAAGAATTGGGGAGAAATTCCTGATAATGTGTCCATAGTGATGTTGTGCTAATTTGTGACCATTCACAGCTGATCATTCACCTCTCCTGGGCATGACAGGTGAGATGTTTATAGTAGAACAAGAGAAGGCACCCTTGGGCCAAATGAAGAGCAGAGTTTGGAGTTTAGGGTTCATATCTGAGTGCTGCCACTTATTGTCTATGTATCTGTAACCTCTCATACCCTCAATGTCTTCATCTGTAAAATGGGATAATATTAGTATCTACCATAGAGGGTGATGGAGGATTAGATGAGCTATATTGCCCATTAAGCCTTTTCTGTAAAGAGCCAGATAGTAAATATCCCAGGCTTTTCAGGTCACATAGAGTTTCTGTCACATGTTCTTTTCTTCTTCTTTTTAATAAGGAGCTCTGGTAGTGCTATGCCTAAGGCATTTGACTGCTAACCAGAAGGTTGGCCGTTCAAACCCACCAGCTGCTCCACTGAAAGAAGTTGGGGCAATCTACTTCCATAAAGATTTACCAGCTTGGAAGCCCAGTGGGGGTCACTATGAGTCAGAATCGACTTGATGACACTGGTTGTTTTTTTTTTTTTAAATCCTTTAAAAATGGAAAATCCATTCTTAGCTCACAGATTGTTCATAAACAAGCCATGGGTTGGATTTGGCCCGTGGACTGTAGTTGCCTGACTCCTGCTTTGGTACATTTCCTGGTAGAGCAGAAGCACTCAGTGAATGTTCCTATCAGAGATTCTGACATCAATACATTTTTATGGGAGAGAAAATTGAGGCTGGGACTGCATAGGGACTTGCTCAAGGTCACATAGCCAGTTAGTGGCAAAGCCATCACTTGAGGGGAATCTGAGTGGGTCCCACTGGCTCCCTCATCCCATCCCTGGTCTCTGCCTGCCCCAACCCTGCCCAGGCTGGTCGATTCCCTGACTCTCACCGGCAGATCCGGGGGGAACAGTGCATAGTTCATCCTGCTGATATTCTCTAGGGAGAACTGGAAGGAGCAGTTGAACAAGCGGAAGTCATTGAAGACAGCAGGGCAGTCCCGGGGGCAGATGTCCTGTTGCCCACTGAAAGTGGAGATGGTGATGGAGTCGTTCCAGAAGGAGCAGGGCTGCATGCTGGTGAAGCCTCCGTCAATGTACCTCTGTGGGTGAGGAGGTAAAGTTCATCCAGGGTCAGCGGTCCTCGGACCACTCAGTGGGTTCATCAAGAAATAGGTAGGTGGGACCCTTCAAGACAGGCCTTGACACAGGTCTGGCATTGAGTGAATGGTGTCCCCAAGGTCACTTGGTGAGTTTGCAGTAACTTTGGACCCCCATCCCAGTGCTCCATCCCTGTACCATCTCCCCTAGGTTATTTTAACAGTGCTGAGGTTGGGGCTTCCAGGCCTCTATGAGGAGGGAGGAAGGGGCACACATATCCTGGATAAAGGCTACCCCCTCTAGAGCCACTCAGCTGCTGAGGACAGTACCGGGGAGCAGAGCACACCACTGTGGCCTTTTGAGAAGTTGTACACAGGGTGGATGTGAGCAGGCACAGATTACCCCAGATTGCCTCACCAGATTGCCACAGGTCCAACTTGCCTCCCTTCTTAAGCTCAGGCACCCTTGACACTCTCCAGAGCATCTTCAACCACAGCCTTGCCACCAGCCACTGTGAGTACTCCCTCAAGTCCCTCCCCACACGAAGCTTCTGTCTCCTCACCTATGAATGAAAATCAATATGGAGGGATTGCTATGAGTCAGGTCCGACTCGATGGCACATAACAACAACAACAACCCTCTGGTGGTGCGGTGCCCAAGGCATTTGTCTGCTAACCAGAAGATTGGTGGTCAAACCCACCAGCTGCTCTGTGGAAGGAAGATAGGGAAATCTACTTCCATAAAGATGTACTTCCTCAGAAACCCAATGGGGGTCACTAGGAGCCGGAATCGACTTGATGGCAGTGAGTTTGGTTTTTGGTTTAACCCTTTGGGGTGCCTGAGAATCCCAGGACTGATATGTGATACAGGCTCCATCTGCTAGTTAAATCCTAGTGTCTGGACCTCATTTTCTCTATATAAAATGAAGATGGGGGAAGGGTAGATTAAGCCCTCCCTACTCAAAGTGTGGTCTGTGGACGAGCAATGTTGGCATCACCTGAAGCTGGTTAGAGAGATGCAGAATCTCAGGCCCTACCTCCAACCTATTGGATCAGAATCTGCATTTTTCCCCCAAAGTTCCCCAAGTGATTCACATGCATGTTTAAATTGGGGGTACACTGACCTTGCTGACCTTGAACGTCCCTTCTGATCCATCTTTCAGTGTTCTGGGTTCCAATGTTCCCAGAGTTGTATTCTATTCCTGGAGTTGTATTCTATACTCTCTGTCAAAACCTAACAAGCTTGAGGACCCTTGGCTTCCCAAGGTTCACTAAATCCTTCACAAAGAGTTTAATTCCAGGCTGCTCCATAAAAGGGCAGATGTGGGGATCAAGTAAGGAGTGGGAAGTGAAAGAGTTTTGGAAACTGGATGGAGATGAGGTGTTTGTGTGCCATGAGGCGGGGACCCCCGGAGGACAGAAACACTCACCCTCCTTTAGGAAAAATGGGGTGAGTTTGGAATAGGGAATGAAAGGAAGCCTGTAAAAATGAGAGCAGTTGACTTGTCAGGGGGAAAATTCTAAGTGATTTTTAATTTTTAAATCATAAGGAGCTCTGGTGGCATAGTGCCTAAGACATTTGACCGCTAACCAGAAGGTTGGTGGTTCAAACCCACCAGCCACTCTGTGGAAGGAAGAATGGGCAATCTACTTCAGTAAAGATTTACCGCCTAGGACAAACATTGATATACAGGTGATAGATGGGTGGATAGGATGAACTATTAGTTATGTCTATGCAGGGGGGAGTGTGCCCAAGACCATGTACAGGGTTGGCAGACAATGATTCTATTTTGTGTATTTTAGATTTGTATATTCTGTAAGAATGTCCAGGTATATAGTAGAGCTGACAAGGGACAAGGTTGTAGTCACTTCTTGGCCACAGTTAGCTACCCAGAGGGAGTGAGTAGTTAGACCTGTGGGCTCGGGACCATAGTCACAGGGGACATCAAGCTCAATTGGCATGACGTTCTACATAACAACATTGTTTCATATCCTAATTTGGTGAGTAGCAACTGGAATCTTAAAAGCTTGCAAGTGGTCATCTAGGTGCAACGACGGGTCTCTCCTCATCCAGAGCAAAGAAGTATGATGTATGGAAACAGTTAGTCCAAGTGACTGGTACACCATATGATCCTCAGCCTATACAACTATGAGACCAGAAGAACTAGATGGTGCCCAGCTACCACTTGGAGGGGGATCTATGTAGGAGATCCTGGATAAAGTGGGAGAAAAATGTGGAACAAAACTCAAAATCATTAAAAAAAAAGGGGGGGGGGACTAGGTTTGCAGGTCTGATAGAGCCTGATGGAACCCCTGAGACTATGGCCCCTAGCTGCCCTTCAGGTCTGCAATTGAATCCACTCCTGTGGCTTCCAGCCAAACAAAAGACAGGCATATGAGCTGAACATTTACATTAGGTAGATTGGAGAGATCAGTCATCGAAGAATAGGAGGGCTGTTATGTACAGGGAGACAGCTTGGATGGCAGGAGTGTATGGGAGGGAAGGACACAGGGAAGAGGGAACTATGGGAAGGACATGGAATGGGAGCTGTTGCACTGTGGAATCTCAGTCAATGTCATGAGACAAAGGGTGTGTGAGCTGCCATATGAAAGGTGAATTTGCTCTGTAAACTTTCACCCAAATCACAATTAAA